TTTTTTTTTAAACATCACCTCTCCCAATAATATTGCATCCAGCGTTACCAACCTACAGCTGATCAAAAAAGGAGAAAAAAAAATCAGTGATGTCATCTTTCCTGCAGAATAAGCAGAGCTTGTGAGAGGGAATATCATGGGAAATCAATCACCCTCTGCAGAAAATACCTTTTCTTTGGGTCCCCCTTTCTTTTCAAGGTGTCTCTTTGGAGGCATAAATGAATGGATGGAGAGCCTCAAGTCTTTTGTATGAGCTGATGCAGGAGAAGAAAAAGAAAAAAAAAGGTGGGGGGAGGGGCCATCATTAAATTTCTGGGGGATTATTTTTCTGGCTCAAAATATCTGGGCAGGTTGCCTCAATATTATTTGAAAATTTTTTTCAAGTGTGAAGGTTTTGTAGCAGTTTAAAAAAAATCAGATATGGAGGGCTATTTGGAAATTTTTCATCTTTTCTGGAATAAGGCTTATTGGTGAAATTCCTTTGTTCTCAGAACATCAAAAAAAGTTCCCTTCTGGAAAAGTAACCATATTGTTTTCCTTTATGCTACAGTATATAATAAATAGAGAATTGAGAATTTTGTGCCTCAGTGTTGCCAGCAGTTGAAAATTTTCACAGAAGTAAAGATCTACCAATTTGAAGAAAAGTTTTTCTCAGCAATGAATTTTTTGGAGTGAGCTCAAAAAATGTAAACAGGAAGCTTTTTACATTATTGGAAGCCAAGTTCCAAAATAAAATATGAACTGAGGAAATGTTGAAGAGTTTTGAAAACCCCATGAGTCCTCCTCTTTATCTTTTCTAAATGTGGAACATTTTCTCCTGAAAAAGTTTTTGAAGATCATCGAATTTATATTTTTTTTCTTCAAAATAAAATAATATAAAAAATGCATCATATAATGTTGAAAAATGATGATTGATTAACATCTTGACACAAGGTCGTGAAATAACTTAGTGAGCGCCCTTTTTCAGGTCTCCTTTTTCCTGTGTGATTCAGTTTCTTTTTTTTATGTTCAAGGACGATTTTCTCGTGCTTTCCTCATCTGGGTTCTTTCCGCGAGGCTCAGAATATTCCAGCCGCAATCTTATTGTATATCTCGTCTACTCTCTTCCTGTCTTTTTGTTTTTCTTACTCCCAATATATTTAATTTATGAATACACCTTTTTGTTCTTATTGTTGCAGAATTGATCAACAAATTAAGCTGCGGTGTTTTTTCCGGTACTTCAATCGTATCAAGGAAAACCCTCCGACTGGGGAAATATCCATCACTAGGAGGGTGAGGATCGTTTGCGGATTCTTTGGCAAACGCGGCTAGGTGTCGCTCACAGTGCATGGGGTATTTTAATCTATGTCATGTTTTTCAAAAAATGGGTTCTTCAGACATTGAAGTAAACTGAGGCCTTTTCCCAAGGATATAATTGGATTATAAGACTTTTCACTGAGAATCACATCCCCGTGCTGACATAAAACCAAGGATAAAGGTGGGAAATCTATTTTTGAATTCAAATTCTTTAAAAATAGTTTATCTTGTATGATATACCCTCCTTCATTGAAAAGACAAAAAGTGTAATTAAGCTTTGGGGAAAAATTGGCAATTCCTTCATGACGGCACTACGGTATATAAAACTAACTCAAATGTACACAAAATCTTGAGAAACAGCTGTGATCTCTTAATATATGTCATTTGTTTAAAATACATTCTACCTTGATACACAGTATTTTGAAGAAAAAAATATTAAGAAGTATCTTTGAGCTTCAAATTATTTCTTTTGACTCTCTCTCTTATAAAACCCGGTGACTGTCCTAAAAATTTGGTAAGCAAGCAATTATTCTTACTCCAATAATGGTAACCCTGAACTCTCAAAAAACACCCATTACATAGAGAGCCAGCCTTGCTTATGTGCCACAAAATGTGCAGGGACAAACACTGGCACTAATATATTGGGGTTTGACTGTATCAAAACCAAGAGAAGCTTTCTTGCAATCACATCTAGAATTGAGGAAATTCAGCATCAGGAAATATAAATTCTTTATTCCTACTGATGCAGATAAATTGCCTGTTAAATTCAGTGCATCAAGGCTAATTATGAGCATTAATTTTTTTTTTCATTTTGGAAAATGACATTTGAAAAATTTATTCCTCCAAATCAGGGAAAAACTGCTTGTGGTACAAATTCGCTTTATGCATTTTCAAGGCTGAAATAATACGTTTGCTACAACACAACAACGAGAATGAAATGGAAAAGTGGGGCTGTTTTTTTCACAAGAGCGACACCTATAGTTTGGAATTCGAAAAACCCTCGATTCAAACAAATTCGTCATTCATTGATTCGTATAGGTGATGCCTGCCAGAGACCACATGCGGATCGAGGACTGGGCAGAGTGCCGACAACGTCTGTGTCCAGTTGTTCTGGTACCTGGCAATAATGAAAATAATAACGGAGTTTGCAGCAAGTCTGCCACAGATGGCGTTCGCGTCACGCGGTGCGTGTCTGCCAATGCGGCTGTGGGTGCTGGACTCCTGAGTTGCGCCTCAGCGCCATCTACGTCCAGCAAGCATCGCACCCATGACAAGTTCTCTCAGGTACAGTATACAGTGGCCCCCCGCCTAACAGACCTCCCGTGTAAGGGATTTTCGCC